TAGAGAAAGCAAGATCTGCATTTCAAAAAATGGCTAAGTTATTCAAATGTCATGATTTATCAATACCCATAAAAATCAGGTTACTACGATGTTACATCTTTCCTATACTGTTGTACGGAGTTGAGTTATGGACTCTCACAGACGTCACCTACAAGAAAAATTGAGGCTTTTGAAATGTGGCTTGTATATCGTCGCATCCTAAAGATTATCGTTATCCGATGACGTTACTAATGAGGGTGTTCTGTTGAGAATGAAAAAAGAAAAAGAGCTGTTAACCACAATAAAAACAGCCAAAATCGAATACCTCGGTCACATCATGAGGAACAGCGAAAGATATGGACTGCTGCAACTAATCTTGCAGGGAAAAGTAGAGAAGAAAAACGGGGACCAGGAAGGCGAAGGATTTCCTGGCTGAAAAATCTAAGAACGTGGTTCAACACAACAACCACAAATCTTTTTAGAGCAGCAGTGTGCAAAGTGCAGATTGCCATGATGGTCTCCAACATCCGAAACGGATAGCACTACAAGGAGAAGAAGATATTTTGAGGATCTGCTGTACACGCCTTTTGAAAGTTCTCTATTTGTTTACAACGTAAAATGTGAATCTTCTTAACACGACACACGAAAGTCTTATACCACTTTGTATTACAAAACCCTCACAAAAGAAATTTATATAAATCATTAAAACTGATTCCGAGATGATATTTGTGGCGTTCCATCAAAAACTGAGATATAAATGAGGATATTGCTGAAAATCACGAATATAGACAAAAAACCTCAATGGATATATTTATTACCAAAAATTGTTCAAAGACGACAGGGTTAACGTTCAAACTTATCTCTGTAATAGCCGACACTTAAAGAAGTGTAAGATAAGGGTGAAAAAAAAAACTGAAACTAGAGAACCACAAAAATCATGAAAACAAAAAACATGAGATTTCAACAGAACATGGTAAAGTATATCGAGGATATGTTGACAAAGAGAAAAAAAAAACTTTCTATCAACAAATTAATAAGGAAAGCCTAAGAAGATTTTTTAGTACTTCGACCAATGGTAATTTAACTAAACCACAGAAAGAGCAGACATTGAAGGAGCAAGTGAAAGAAACAGTTAAAGAAATGAAATTAAAAATATTCAAAATTCCAGAGGGATTACACCATTTTTCGTCTTTACAGAGGGTAGGTCTGGAATCTTCAAAAGACATGCCAGTCCAGGACGTCACCTGACTCTCCTCTCTCACTGTCATCCAGCGATCCGGAAGCGAAATGGCCGCTGTAAAATCAGCATCACTGCCAAGCTGCCCAAAGCACTACCTTCATTTATCGACAGACTGTAAAGCAGACTGCAAGGTGGTTCTTTCTTTTGAGAGGAACCCATTCCAAAAAGCGCGTGTAAGACCCTATTCGCTTCTAGTACGGCATCACTCCCAGCCGGGCATTTCCGCCTTCCCCACAGTCTACTCACACAATTTAATAATTCATACAATCTAACTCACTTTTCCACAAGGCTGGTAAAATATGGACCGCTGAAATTGTCCTATAATACTTCAATACATAAAATGACACAAAAAGCAATCTTAAAGCTATAGGGACTATAGGATAACACCAATAATATGTACATTTTAATCTATTAACTCAAATGACTAGCTGGATTCAGTTATAGACGACGCATAATCATTCCAAGAGTTGGAATGGATGTTATAATTGCGATAGGATACAAAATAGTACAAACAAATAAAAACAAACTAAGATTGTCAAAAATAAAGTTATAATTAGTATTTAACGATAACAAAACATGACAAATGAGGACTAACATGATATTCGCAAACTAAAATCTAAGTTCAAAATACATCGTATGCGCAGTATAGACATCTGCGGTGAAACTAATAATAGAATTTATAAAAGCGGTCTAGAAACAATAAACACCAAAAAGTATTGAATCTCATAATACTTTTTCCCATTTCCTATTTGAGAGATTAAATATACCAGTACTAATAATAGTTTTAGAAAGCAACATAGAGGAATGAGTTAGGTCTACGTCTACGTAAAATATACGTCGCACAGGCAAATAAATCGTTTACAGTTGAATTAATGCAAAAGTTTTATCACGTGATCAACAACGTTTAATTTTTTAATTAATTTTAGCAGTAGCGTTCATCACACATTTATTGAGGGATCTTTAAGGAGAGAAGAAGACTACATACTTCCACATACAAGTGTATAAAGGGCTTCGGCAGCGTAGAATACTATTAACCATGGAAGACTGTAAAAACTATATGCAAGCAGAGGAGAGATTTTTCAGAAGGAATAAAAGGAAGCAATAGCTTCAATTTCAGAGGACCTTAACTCGGATATCGAACTAGTTCTTAATCTAAACAGAGTAAGAATGAGGGCTAAACTCTAAGGAGCACTATCTGGCAAATCAGTAGCACTCAAAATTTCTCACTAATTGAATACAGGGCGGTTCTTTTCTTCGCACTGACCAACCGCCAAATAAATGCCATCACAGCAACTGAATGTAAAATCCTGAGGAAAATCATGAGGAACATGCAAACTATCCGTCGGCATTAATCCACCAACTCTCTAATATTCCCACAATAGAGAGCAGAATCCGCTACTTTCGTCAAGAGATACATCCTACCTACTATAGCGAGCTCCAAGTCCATGAGTACTTTAATATCTCTAGAAGCGACGCCACTAAGATATTGCAGATACTAATAATCTGCAAGCCAAATTGCTCAATCAAAACAGCAGTCCCACAAGTATAGCTGGTAATATGTGAAGATACCCCTCAAGACGGCATGGCTAACAATCTTCCTCACTCAACTCTGATTACTACTTCTTAGCAAACCACCCGTCTTCCTAATCACTCCAACTACAAACACTACAAATTGCATTCGTAGACTGACGTCTGTTCTTGGCCAAAGATTCTCCTTGGTAAGGGAGCCCCACAGCTTAAAGAGGTGTTTCGTCTAAACGAAGTTCAAATAACGTTAGTCTCTCTCGACAATGTTGGTTAATAAGTATTACTACGACTTGATAGGACAAATGGCATCAAACCACTTAGAAAAATAAAACTGACCGTTCGTTCGTAGAATACCAATAACATATGAAACGTGATCAGTTACACAGAAAGACCACCAACAACTGAAGAGTGGTCGAGTTTAGTGATCTAAGTGCCAAAAGTAAAATTTGCCATAAATCAAAAAAAAACTTGAGCATACAAAAAAATAAAACAAATATATAATTAAAACCGTAAATAGTTTCGAAACACAATTCAGATTTCTGCTTTAATCTGTGCTTTCTAAAAATTGCAAAGCAAAACAGACGTCGATGAAGGTGTTAAAAGAAACATGGGGAATCTAAAATTTGCATTCCACGACACGTCTTTTCAACTAAGCAGAAATCCTTAGCGAATTGGTTTCTTGTACTCGTACAGAGTAGATCTGAATAAAGTGAAAAAGACAGCAAATATTTGATTTCACGCAAACAACGCCTTTGTATCTGTTGATACGTATTTCGACCTAATAGGTCTCATCAGAACAGTTATTCAAAGGTGTTCTCAACGTGAAAGAACAATATTTTCTGTCTTTTAAGAAGCAACACTAAAATGTCTTTTAACACCTTCATCAACGTCTGTTTTGCTTTGCTTTAGAAAGCACAGATTAAAGCAGAAATCTGAATTGTGTTTCGAAACTATTTAACGGTTTTATTATCAGATGTCGCTATTGCGTCCGTATCGAAGCCATTTTAGAGTTGCTTCTTAAAGACAGAAAATATTGATCTTTCACGTTGAGAACACCTTTGAATAACTGTTCTGATGAGACCTATTAGGTCGAAATACGTATCAACAGATACAAAGGCGCTGTTTGCGTGAAATCAAATATTTGCTGTCTTTTTCACTTCAAAATATATAATTGTTTATCGCAATTCCACTTTATTAACATAATTTTTGGTGATAATACACTGAAGAAACTTCAGTAAATGGAAATGATCTAAGTCCATAGAAATAATATATGGCTAAGAGCTCCGTTGACTTTAACTTTTGGACATTCACATCTTTTTTCAATACACTACACTTCTCCATCTCATTAAGTCACTGAAACTTTTCTTGTACAATACTGTTCCTGGATCTTCTTTCGTCACACGTAACCACGATGCTTGAGTAATGCCAAGTTTAGATGTATCTATACATTTTGATGATATTTTATCGAAATCAAAAAAAGTACATTCTTCCATATCTAACACTTTGTAAGGCCTGGAAGGTCTAGCAACAGCAATTAGGCTTTTACATCGTTTACTGTTTGAAGCTTGGAACGTTTTGCACGTTTCTCGATAAGAGCAAAATGTCTATCTGAAGATGAAAAGCTATGACCGCAAACTAAAAATTTATGATCGATGGTATTAAAATGTCCATTGGCTACTAAAAAATGTATAAGAAAATAAACATTCGGTTTTTCAACTGGCTATACATAGTTTCCGCTTATAAGTTGAAAGCTGTTCTGTATTCAAGGCTGGTAGAAGACATGATGCCATTTGGTTCCCCCCACGGCCCGGCTATTCTTCATGCCAAATGCACATTATCCCATCAGACGTATCTTGTACGTGTATTCCAAAATTGTAGCATGACAATTGGTGGCTGTAGTACATTCTACTATGCCTCAATTTAGGAAGCGAAAATACTTTTTGTAGATCCATGTTAAGGGTACATGTATCGCTACCTGGAAGAGTACTGCTTGTACTGTCTTCTTGAATCACATTAAGAGCTTTACCTGTTTTTCTATGGGTAATTCCAACTCAGTTTTAGCTTTTCTGGATACATTAAGGTCTTTTTCCTTGCTTCTTAAAACAATGAAATCACAAGTCTTGAAGGTGTCAACTCTAGGTCATCTAAAGAAAGATTCTAAAACAAAGCCAAAGTATTGGTAGCTACTCACAAGTTAGACTATCGTAAGGCCTAAAATTTCAAGCGAAATATCTGTTAAAAATCTCGTACTAACCTCATGTTTTGGAACGGCTTTTCGCGGTTTTTGCAGCTTACATTTTTGTGTAACATAGGGTTTTCCCCACTCAATGTTTTCCTTATTGATTTCGTATTCTTTTTGTCGCCTAACGCACTAGAATCCATTGTATTTTCGTTAAAACGCAAATATATACACAATAATAATCGATACTATTGACAACACGTCAACTATATACTGGCACTTAGATCAATTAGGTACATGGTGCCGGACTTACAGGCGGCTCCATCTTTAGGGGGATATTGACATCGAACATAGATCATATTGATTGAAAAAAAACAAAAATTTATGTTTTGGCACTTAGATCACTTAGATCGGCAACTCTTCAACTTTTCGAGCTAAAAGTTCTAAGAAGAAATATGGAGGAGTAAAGGAGCCAGTATTGTGACGTAGACGTTGCAACTTTGAAAAGTTCTGTGGAGTCTGATTGAGAGAGCATGTAATCTGACGAGAAGACGCAACAATCAGAAAATTTTTGACCGAAGAAGACTGGTGGAACAATGAACCAGGGGAAGACCAGAAGGTACGTACCTAACTTAAAAGAAGACTAAAAATCTGTCTGAAAAGAGTGGGGAAGAGTTGCTCGAGAGGTAAGGAAGAATGAAAAATTGTTAATAACGGGCTATAACGCCATTGGTGATAAAAAGTATTTTTTTTAATTATTCAACTTTTAAATGCTTATTCCAGTATTAAAAAGCATTTCTTCATGTTCCAGAGATTAGAAAGAGGCGAGTTAGACGAATTGGATCTAGATTCTGATGATTGCGATTTAATTTTAACCAAAGAAGAAAAGTATCGCTTAAAATCTAAACGCCGGGCTATATTGAAGAGAATGATTCCGCCGAAAAGGTAGCTCCAGCAGAAATCCAAATATTTATTAGAAATAAGTGTTATTATATATTGTTACTTGATGTTATATTTACAGTTTACAATTTTTTAGTACTAATTATAGTATATGAACTTACAGATTGTAGAGATGAGAAACTTTTAACACATTTGCAGCAATCAAAAGTCCCACTATCGTCCGGTTCTCTAATTCTAAATAATTATAATTATCTAAAATCTTCGCTGTTTCGATACCTTTTTAATCTCCAATTTTTCATCTTCCTTGTTGCAGAAATCAGTGTTATTAAACATGAATTTTTCTATTGACCATAAGTCAACATGTTGATTAATATAAAAAAAAACACCAAAAGTTACTCACCTCTGCACTAATTTACAATATTTAGTCGTTTGTATTATATTCAGATTTTGATATTTTGTACTTTAAACATATTTATATGTATTTTCTATATATTATTATTATTACAAAAAAGTTTAATATATTTAAAAGTTTATAATTCAAAGTTTAGTCTTTTTTACTTTGTAAAAATTGGTTAGTACAATTTACCAGAAGAAAAAAATATTTAATCATATGCAGATCTAATAATTTTCTCGTACTATTCTTTTATGTGACATTGTATCAGTAATCAGACAAGAAGAAGTATTTAAAATATATTAATTATATATTCAGAATTATTATTATATAGTGAGGCTTTGAATTATGTTTACGATTAAATCAAAGACAAAATCAATTATTATTTTTTCTAAATCGCAATGTCTTTAAAGAAAGTGATTTCCAAGAATAGACAAGAATGAACAAGAAAATACTATATCTGCAGCAGTTGAAACATTACTGTGGATGAAAAGTAGTTTATTGGAATCAAAAACATTACATCGGTGCCTAATTTTCAAAAAAAGAAAGTAAAGACGATTTAAAAACTTCAATAAATTCCTCTTCAAAACAAAACAAAACAGTAAAGCTGAACGGAATTCTTAGACAACCAATGACCATCCTGTAGGGGCCAGCATCTACGTAAGACGAAGAAGAAGGACATCTTTCAAGATTCTTCTTCAGAATCTGAACCAGTTTTAAACCAGATAACATGACAGATATTGCAGCAGACAGTCTAAGGAAGAAGATGCTATTTATTTTTATTGCGATGGAAAATTATTGAAAGACGGAAAGGAGAGAAGTGCATATGTCTGCAAAAAATGGTGCCATACAGATTGTTCCGGGTGTGAAACTGATATCTTGAATTTGAGAAATTTGCAAAGACAATTCATATGTTTTAATTCAATTATCCCATTCCTTCATCAAGGTTTGCACCCGCTGACCGTAGTCGCATAGTTGGTGCTGTTTTCATGGAACCTGTTATATTTAGACAAGGTTTAGTTTGTTAATCGCTGTTGCTTGTAGCACTTTTGGTACCCAAGCAATAGCTCCGTAAGTTAGCATTGGCCCAATGACAGCAGTGTAGATCCAGGAAATCAACCATGGCGAAAGGCCCCAGGTACGTCCGGTTGTTCGTCGAAACTGCTCATAGGTAATATATGCTCTTTTAGCTCATCATCTAATTGGGAGTTCCATGATGACTTCCTGTCAAGAAAGCAAAGGTATTTAACCTTGTCAGTAATGTTTAGACTGTAGTTTAGAATCCTTAGTGGTATTAAGCCCGTAATTCTTCTTTTTCTGGTGTAAAGGAACATCTCTTTCTTCTTAGAATTTATCTATAGCGAGTATTCCTAGCACCACGTTTCTATTAGTCCGAGAGCAACTTGTTATCTCTCACATAGTGTGTTCTTAAACTTACCATTTTGCAGGACAGCAATATCGTCTGCATAGGCTATTGTGAAGAACCCGTTGATGCAGAGTTTATTAACCAAGTTGTCTAGATCTATGTTCCAGAGGAGTGGTGATAGCACCCCTCCCTGTGGACACTCCGTAACCATGCTTTCGTCTTCTACATTTATCTTATTGCTCTGTTAGAAAATATACTGAATATCCAACCACGTGAACATTCCTGACATTGAGCTGTTCAATGATGGTTGGGAATGTAGTTCTATCAAACGCTCCCTCGATTTCTATGAATAGACTCTTTATTATCCAGCGATCTTTCAATTCCTCCCACTACTTAATTCAGTGCAGAATCGGTCTATCTTTTCGCAGTATATGCATGCGAATTTGGGCGAAGTGGGTTATGGACCAGAACTTCATCTCTTATGTACCTTTGGCATAGTCTTTTCATCGTTTTCAAGACAAACGTTATTAGGCTAATTGGTCGAAAAGCAAACTGTGTTATGTTTAATATTATAATCTTATACATAAAATATTAATGTGTATTTCTGAACAATCACACATTGTTGTAAGAAACAAAAAAAAATACTACAAACCAAATACAAAAGGTATTCCATATACCTATGGCACATCTAGATAACTACTATTAAAAAGCTATCAAACAAAGAAGGATATCTTAATAAAAATGTTAAAAAGTATGTTTCAAATCGAAAGAAGACAAAACTAAGTACGAAAGAGTGATAAAACCGGTTAGGTATGGAATATAAAAAAGAACATAGACTTTTTGAAACACACTGAGTGGAATGACTATTCATATAACGCATTAAATCACATACATTTCCTTAATAAATATCTACCAACACGAATAATTGTCATGTATTTTCATGAGCTCAAGTCACTTATGACTGACTGTAAGAGTATCTTAACTTAGAAATTTTAGTAATTTATGTTACGTGCCTTTGCGGTTGGAAATAGAACCAATGCATAATAAATTTTTGAATAAATTTGTCTGTTGTTGTTCTTCGCGTTTATACTTAGCCAAAGTTACACTTGGAATAATTTATTTTTGGATATTTCCTTTCATCGGTCAGATAGCTCAGCGGGCTGTGCGGCTGCCTCTCATTCGCTTCACTGTCGAATGGTTCAGTGGATGTGGGATCGAGCCCCAGCTCGTTGTACAGAAAACAAAAAGTCTAACGCAACAGTTTAAAATTCTAGATGAATCTGCGGCTTAGACTAGGATATGCTGGGATCTGATCGGCCTATGGTGGAGCAGTACGGCAAGAGATAAGGGCTTGCGGCTCGGTGATACTCCTCCATAGATCCCTACCGGACGGGCGTAACGCCTAAAAAACCGGATATATATTATATATATTATATATATATATATATATATATATATATATATTATATATTTATATATATATTTCAGTTAGTCCTAGTGAAATAAAAATATTAATTAATTTAGTATTAATAAATATATTTATTTATTTAGTACCTACCTATTAAAAAATAGTATTAAGAAATAATTTCATATAAAGCACTGCTTCGATGAATAAATTTGAAATATCTGACAGAGTGTTCAGAGGCAACTGAGAACCAAGAGCCCTTTTTTAATTTGACTACAGACCTTATTCCATCTAATTTTGGACAAACGCTCTCGTCTTCCACTGATCTCTATGTCTAAGTGCTCTCTTCAATATCTAGTCACAAAAATTCACTTTCTCTCTTCCCTTTCTCTATTCCCATAGTCTCTAATATCGTTAAGTATTTAAGTTTCTAGTAAATTTTAGGGCTTTGTCTGTAACGTCCCTCAATTTGGTCACATATCTAACCCATTCGGTTAAATTTGTTGTAACAACACTTTTCTTGAGGCATCCCAAACGTATTGCATTACAATCTTTCAGTTATATATCGTGTATCCAATAAAGTGAGTAAATCTTCATCTATATTTCCAATTATATCGAATTATGTTTGTTTTTAAAAACATTAGTAAGAGTCTTAAGTTCTTTTTATTATATTTTTAATTCATATAATGGTTTTGATAAATTATATGAATATTTAATAAATTACAATAAAAATTATATATTTTTTGTGTTATTTTGATGTTTATATTTTCTATAATAGTTAATATACCTATGTTGTATAATACTGTAAAATGTTGAAAATGTTACTTATAGTATCATGCATTTTAACCTTACACGACATCTATTGGCGCATCTCGGATCTATTATAGAAACTTCCCTGTGGCGCCATCTTAAAGAGTATGCATTAAGTTCTGAGTATAAAATCTACATTTTGCAGAGCTCTATGAGGTGCCATCTAACGGATAAATTAGAAAATAAACATAACCGAAGGGAGAGATTGCTTTAACAATTTCCTGTTATAAAACTTCTAAGTTAATAAGAAATTATAGATGGCAACAAAATGTTATAATGTTTTGTTCTGTACAGGGTCGTTAAATAAGCATTTCCTATTTTAAAATTTAAA